GTTTCCTATTCCGAACCGCACGTGCCGACATCCGAGCGAATTCGACAGGATTGCAGTCGACCAGAAGATGGCCCGCGAGGCCAGTAGTGTAGAACCCACACCCAACGCACAGCACAACATGTCCAGAGGAGACCCAGCGCCTGCGTCCTCGAGCGGCCTCTGGAGTGACAATCCCTCGTGGAGGCAAGCTCACGGCGGTGGCAAGAGTAGCTGCGAGCGTCGGGCGATTGTTGCGATTGGCGGCGAGTCTTCGCCTCTTGGATTCGGGCACGAAAGCGGGGCCTGAGCGCTCAGGGAGCAGCAGCTCATTGGCAGCTTGCCCGAGCGCGTCACCGTCGGGGGTCCTGGGCACGACGATGGGATCGAAAGACACATGCCTCCTAACGGATCGCCCGTCCGCGGCATCACCCGAGGAGGCATCACCCGCAACAACATCACGAACGCGGCGGGACGGTCGACCCAAGTCCGAGACGTCGAGCGGGGGCGGGGTGGCAGCAGCAGCAGGGTCGCCGGGGCGGGCCCGGCCCCCCCTCGTTTCGAGCTCCAGGGCCGAGGGCGCCGAGCGTATCACATTGGCCGTCTCCCTCGCGAGCGAGCGAGGGCGAGGGCGGCGAAGAAGACGGGGGGGGAGGAGGAGGACACGAGGACGCTCTTGGCAGCCCAAGCGCTACGGGCGCGCCAGGAGCAGCGCGCAGGCCATCGCTGAGCCTGCCGCGCCGCCGCTCCCCATACCGTAGAGGAGGTGACCTGCGACGGCATTCGTCTTGCCGGCCATGCGCCGCCTCGACGAAAGGAGATACTCTCGAACACATGGGGAGACACAACGGTTGGCAATCCAATCGTCAGCAACACAACCACCAACATGCAAGTTGGCAATGCAATCGTCATAGTTGCTCAACGTACAATCCAATATCCCACAATATTCGTTGATGGGTTCGTAAAGGCAATATACTTATCAACTGAATAAGCATCCACAATACTTTACCATCAGTACAACCCCCATGGAGTAAGCTACAGTCCACTCAAGGTTGGAATGGAGTGGCATACACAAGCGGCTCAAACAAGAGAAAATGCATGCTATCGTAAGACACAGGGTCTTCGTGCTCAGAATCAAACGGATCGTACTCAGTGTGCTTATACCCCCTCGGTGAGGGCATTCCAGACATTGACCGCCAACTGCCCTCGGTGAGGGTTAGAACTGCCCTCGGTAAAGGCCCGTGTCACGGGAGGGCTCGGATTGTGGAGCTGGGTTGGGCGGTAAGCTACCTTGCCGACGCTTGTAGATCTAATACTCTATTCCCTCGGGGGCTTTTCAGCTTTTCTGTGTGTCGTTCCACTTCCTGTGTCGCTTAGCCTGCGTTAAGGTGATGTTGCTTGGTATCGCACTCTTTCTTATTGTTTCCAGAGATGAGAAGGGCGCAACAGCCACGTCGCTCATGTTTACCTAACGCAAGAAAAACATGAAGATGCGGAGGCCGAGGTGGAGGAGAAGTAGGAGGAGGAGGAGGAGGAGGAGCAGGAGGAGGAGGAGGGGGAGGAGGAGGAGGAGGAGGAGGAGGAGGAGGAGGAGGAGGAGGAGGAGGAGGAGGAGGAGGAGGAGGAGGAGGAGGAGGGGGAGGAGGAGGAGGCCCGAAACGGGGCGGAATCGCGCGTTGTGAACAAACCGTGACGCTAAGACCTCAAGGGCTGCCGCGGCGTGCTTCCGCTCGGGGCGGGCACCGAGGTCCCGAAGGGCGTCGGCGTGCCCGCTGAAGGCAAACGAGTGCCCTCTGAAGGCACACATCTCGAAGGCACATACTCCGGATTCCATAACAAAGTGTGGGGGGGTCACATTCGGGGGGGGGTCTAATTTGAGCTGTCTTGGAGGGTTCGGGAGGGTCTGGGCAAAGGGCCGCCCTTTGATGGATAGTCTGGGGGGTCTAAAACTTCTCGTCTGGAAGGGTTGTGACCCCCTCCCTTTTATTACGAAATCTGGAGTATTTTTAAAGGCCCAGAACCTATGGCTTTCAAGCATTGTAGCCTTCAGAGAGAACATGTGTGCCATCAGCAGAGGCCTCCTGTATGGGGTCCGAGTGGATGGGGTTGGAGGATCGCACCGCGTCGCCGATGCATCGGCGATGCGGCTCGATGGGGAGACCCCGATTATCTCCTAGCCAACGTCGCCGACGCATCGCGACCGTCGCCGATGCATCGGCGATGCACCGGCGACGCGGCGCGATCCATCGACCCCACCTTCTCGGACCCCATCCTGGGAGGCCCCGATTCGGTGCCGCCCCGCTCCTCCTCCTCCTCCTCCTCCTCCTCCTCCTCCTCCTCCTCCTCCTCCTCCTCCTCCTCCTCCTCCTCCTCCTCCTCCTCCTCCCCCCGCGGGCCGAGCCCTCAAACCCCAGGCAATGCTGGCACGGGCGCGGCGCGCGAGGCTCGCGCGGCGGCGCCGCGGCGCGTCGACGCTGCGAGGGCCGCAGCGGCCCTCGGCGGCCCCCGGCGGCCCTCGGAGGCC